AGAATCCCACGAAGCATTTCTCTGTTGAAGAAACTCTTCTATCTCGATCTTCGCAATCCTCCAGGAAAATTGTGGGGTCATTTGGAAGACTTGCTTTCTATCTCAAGTTTGCTATGGCTTGCGGTATCGGGAGTTAAAATGAAAGGAAGCTTAACAAAGATTCCCCCTAAAATGTCACATTTTGTTTTGACTGGAAACGAAATAAAAGGAAATCTACCTCCACTCGACAAATTTCCAAAACATATCATYGTATTCGACGTTTCCAATAACAAATTGACTGGTGATGTTCCTGGGCAATTATTCTTCTCCATTACTGGCCAGCTTGTTCTATCTCAAAACCTTTTTAAATCTGTGAACAATGGAAGTTCCTGGCCTTCAAAGAGTCCATCTAAAATAAGTTTACAGTACATATCTCTAGCTGAAAATAGAAATTTATCAATTGACTTTGACAGCTTCATTCGAGATTGTCTTCTAGGAGGAGCATTTTCAAGTGACACGGTGACGATGCTGAACATGAGCTTTTGTGACTTACAGGGATACATTGCTGGTGAGCTACTGACGCGCTTTGGTTCCCTTATTGTATGCGATCTTCGAAATAACAGGTTTAACGGAAGYATTCCCGAAGTAGGATTAGACAACGCCTACATGACGTATTTGGATGTGTCTGGTAATAAACTGTCTGGTGATCTTCCATTGGGCATTAATAGTTTAACTTCATTACAATACTTAGACATTTCGGGTAATCCAAAAATGCGCCAATCCCAAGGAAACAACGCAAACAACCTCTTATTATTTGATTTTTCTACCATGWCCAAACCAAAGCGAGAAGMTAAYTACACTTGTGCTGAAGGACGATTAATCTTTAATAACGGACGTGTAAARCTGGATCCCACTTTTTATGATCATCGATATTGTATATGCGATTCGGGATTCTATGGAGACAGCGGTTTATGTAAAGAGTGTATGCCCGGAGGTACATGTCAAAAGCCTATTGTTTTATCCTCTAGTGAGCTTAAAGCCAGCACTATGAAGATGCATGCTGGATACTGGCCATCACCAAGTACCAGTAAAGCCACTCATCTTGTA